GATTTAGGTTTGTGGCTTGTGATTCAGGATTAGATGTTTTTAATTTGTTGTTTTTTTGAGAATTATATGGTTTTCTTTTATTGCACTCCATAATTTTATGTTTATTGTGTAGACTGCCACGACGTGTTTGGTCAAAAAATTGTTGAAAAAAAAATTATTTGTGAAAAACATTTTAAATTAACAAAAAAATATGTGGCATTTTGGTTGCTCCATAAAATGTATGTAAGTGTGTTTTAAAAATTTTACAAATACTAGGTATAATTATAGACTGGACTAGGGTAGGCTGTGCGTGCACAGCCGGGTCCAATCTAGTAGTATATTATATATAACATATAGTATATAACATGTAACATATAGTATATAATATATAACATATAGTATATAACATATAGTATAAAACATATAACGTATATAATATATATAACATATACTATATATTAAATACTATATACGCTATATATTAAAAATACTATATATTATAAAAAATCTTGATATTGAAAGATCAGAATAAAATTTATGTAAATATAAACGCGGTAGTCTAGCGGCATAATGGTAAGGAGGTGTGCCCAGAGACAAAGGATTCACCCGAGACTTGGGTTCGAGTCCCGAATCTGGGATCCTTCTTTCAATTTTAAACATTTTATAAAACGTATTCAGTGAGTACGTTTTTAAATTAATTAAATTGAAAAACGTATTTACGAAATTCATTTTTCATATAATTAATAGTAAAACGTATTCTATTAATACGTTTTAAAATGTAACTTAAAAAAAAAACTAGTACCCAGTTTGTCCAATCTTTAACAAAAAAAAAACCTATTTTAAATATTCAATACAACCAAATCGAAATGAACAATCCAAACAAATCTAAATAAACACTAAAAAATAAACAAACAAACAAACTCATATATAGTCCAACATAACAAAAATATATAATCCAAACATAGTCCAACAAATCAAAGTAAATAATAAAAAAATAATCCCACATAAAAAAATAAACACTAACAAATCTAGTTTCTCCACTCATCACAAAGTCTAGATCTATCAGTGCGAGGATGTGAGGACGGACAATAATCCACAAAATGCTCTGGATTACCACATCTACTACACTGTCCTCTATCATTCTGGCGGCGTGTCCGACAATCTATTTGCATACGATGACACTTTGTTTACGCGCGAATGGGTCCAGCCTTCGTGATGATCCTCTCCCAATGTGGTAGTAAGGTCCATCCGACCAGCGGCCATGTGTCTGGATCACCAATCGGGGCAAAACTCCGATCAGAAAATTGAGCTACCCAGTTCTCCATCCAAAAGTGAGGATCGTACAATAACTTTGGTGGAGTCGCCACTTTAGACAACTACAATGCATCTGGTCGTACGAAACCGTATACCTGTTTTTCCACATTGAATTATATTTATAAACAACTAAAAATTTTAATGAACCAAAATAAAAAAAAAAAAATTATACAATAAATAAATAAACCATATACCTTTTGTCCCCTCTACCACTCGCTCGTAGACCGGTTGTCACCTTTTACAGGGATCTCGCCGCGTTCGAACATCTCACTTTATGAGTTGCGACCGTACTCTCCAATTCGCAATAAGCGGCATAATGGGCACTAGAAATGACATTACTGCATCTCGTGGACTTCTTTTGTTCCTGCTCAAACAAGTTCAGAGTTTTCATAAATGTGGCGTGTACCAAAGCTCAGCAGAGCAAGAACCTAACACCTTTCAGGACGTTGTTGTAACTCTCGGACATATTGGTTGTCAATGTACCCCATCTACGTCCTCCATCTCCAATCAGGGTTCACTTGTCAAGAGGAATTCTGAACAGGTAATTGTATGCATCCGGATTAAAATCCGAAGGCCGCTCTCATATGTGTTGAAATTTTCGCTCTGAAACCTGTGAACCCAACTCCCAACACCAATTTCAGATTTTGTTATTCATGTACCTAGTAACCACGTTGGTCCAAAGGTGTCGAAGATAAATCCGGTGATATGCAGCGGGTTCTTTCCAAGCCGCCAATGAGTCCACGGCACTCTGTAAGCCCACATCCCTTTCCGAAAGAAAGCATATTTGTCTGTCACTGACAACATGTTGTCGGAGATTTGTCATGAAAAATGACCAGCTGTCCTTGCTCTCTTCATCCGCAATCGCATACGCGATTGACAATAACTGCTTATTCGCAGTATGTGCAATGACCACAAGCAACTTCCCCTTGTACGAGCCACGCAAATGTGTGTCGTCCATGTTAATTATTGGCGGGCATCTCTGGAAGGTCTGAATAGCGGGACCAAACGCCCAGAAAACAAATTTGAATCCTATGTGCTGATATTGGGCCGCCATTTCTCTACCCTGCCATTCCCACTGTACAACTGTAGTGGGATTCGCCTTTTGAAGCGCCGCAAAAAACCTGCACGTTACAAAACGTAATCGTCAATACATAAACATAGTGAGACAAATAACATGTACAATTTTAATAAATTTTTTCTTACTGAGGGAGTTGTGCGAAGTTTGATTCCCAAGTACCATACAAACGGTCGATGGCTTTTTTCTTCTTGTGCCATGCCTTCTTATAGCTCACATCGACTTTCCAACATTTTGTAACACCTCCTGGATCAGGGTAACACTGTACTCGGGTTTCTTTTGAATCTTGGTCATGACACGATTTGAAATTATTGTGGCGGTTACATTTCTGTGGTCATTTTTGTCGGCTTCTTGCATACAACTATGCCTCTCAATCCATTCCGTTACTTCCCACAGTTCATGAACCCATGTGCAGTGCATCACCCGAGCCTTCAACGAACAAGGTTGATCTTCGTCAGATTTGCATACCACCTTGAATGATTTCTTATTCGAATATGTTTTCTTAGCCTCCCTCAATCCTCTAACGTTCTAATTCATGATACCCATATGTGCTTCTTCCTTGGACCAGAAAACAGTACCCAAACGGATAGTCTCAACATTTCCGTTCCAACGTAACAGAGCATGCTCATCCCGGTCTATACACGACGGGTCCCACTGACCCATCTCGCGATACACGTGCTAACCGCTATTAGGAAATGAGTGCTCTTCAATAAATTCTGGTTCACTCTTCTCGTTTATTGATCTATCCGATTCTGTTTTCGATGTATCATCTGTGAAATCGTCTTCACTAGGGATGGAATCATCATCACGTTCTTCCTCATTATAACATTCTCTAACTGTTGAGCTTGTCCCTTCACCAAAATTACGAACATGCGAAGTGGACGTACCCTCAACATCAGGCACTCCCCCGTAAAAAGGGGAAACATCCTCAAACTGCGTAATCTCTGTAGGTGCCTGCGTAACCTGCTTCAACTCTAAATGCAAATACACATAGAAGAAAGGAGAAAATAATATATCCACTGAGAAGCACTATCAGTATTCAAGTTTCCAATATTCCACGAACCATCGGGTTGGTTAGTCAGTAAACTAATCCCCTCAATTACCCAACCATCTCGACGAAACCCAAAATTTTCATAAAATATATCTACAAATTGTTCAAATGATATCTTCTCCCCATGCTAAATGAACCATCCGGACGATTTTTAAAATCTGAAAAATAATCTAACACCTCATTGGGATGATTCCAATACACATTAACAAAGTATCGTCCGGTAGACGCTATTTATACATGTTAAAAATAAAATCACAATTTTTTTTTTTTTTTTTTTTTATCAAATAAACCTCACAAACTCTGATACTCATAATCCATCAATAACATATAATATACTTTCAATGATTTTTTACTCAAATCAAGATAAATATTTCCAATTAATACTACAATAACAAAAAAAAATCACCAATTCTTTTATTAAATAACCCTCCAAAACCCTAATTCTCATAATCCAACCATATAATACAAATCATCCAATTTTCAAAAAAATTCTCAACATACACCGAAACTCATCATCCAATTTAACACATCTATTAAATCAACAATAAATCTTTTCTAAACTATCAAAATCAACAAATATTTCTTACACATTCATAAACAACAAAAAATATGTAATTACATTATATTAAAATAACAACTAACCTCTTTTTCGAATCGATTGATTGTTAAAAGTTATTATTTTTTATTTTGAGGTGAAGAACAAAAGCTTGGGAGAGTTTTTTTTTTTTTTTTTTTTTT